CCCCCCCCCCCCCCCCCAACAGGTGCAACACATGCGCAGAAACCTGGACCAAAGTGAAGCCGCGATCATTCAGGTGTTTGATGAGAAGCAGCGAGTTTGGGAACGACAGATGGACGAGCTGAGACAGAACTACGCTTCACGCCTGCAGCAGGTGACCTCATCATAAGATTTACCCAAAGTGCATCAAGATGAACTTTGTCTGGTTTCTTCTTTCAACCAACACATCAACCCGCGTGCAATTTACAACAACTTTGTAATAATGAAACTTTTTTTTTCTCTTTATTCCCAGGAGGGAAAGGTTTTATAAGTTAACCATGCTCACTGATAATAATTACCGTACTTGCCACCGTACATGTTGCACTGCCTTATAAGTTGCATCAGTCCAAAAATGTCTAATAAAGTAGAAAAAAAACATAAATAAGTCTCTTCGCCGTATAAGTCACATCTATTATGCATCATCGCTGACAACCCGAAAATGTGGGTCGGTGTTGTGTCAAAAATCTATTGGCTGCCAAATGGTGGCCACGGGAGCGTGCACGGGAGAACTTTAACAAGAATTTAACAAGATTAACACTTAAAAACAATCATTTGTTTGTTCAAAATTATAGCAAAGGTGTGTCTCAGATGAACTTTTCCTTAATAAATGCACTTTAACAGTCAAATCAGCTGCATTTATGGGCGGCACGGTGAAATGCAGCTGATTTGATGTTTGCACCAGGAGTTCCAGAGTGAGATGAAGGTGGCTCTGCACTTGGCTTGCCATTTTATTTGAGCACCCTCTAGTGGCTGAAAATGATAGTGTTCAATATTTTCCATGTCAGAATGAATGAAATTATCAGATCTCAGCCAAAAATTGTGTTATAAATATGGGGAGAAATAAAAAAACATAAATAAGTTGCTTCGCTGTTTTGAGATTTGAGCGTTGTCTTTCATTGCTGTTAAAACGCCAAATATTGGAGGATCATTTTAATTGTTGGTTGAGGGTTTTTTTTGTTGTTGTTGTTGCTTTTACTAGTTTCTGAAAATTGTAGAACTAATTAGAAGTTGCACCAAAGCTTTATTGATAAGTGGAGGCCTAGCTTTATTGCGTTGTTGTTGTTTTTTCTTTAATTTCTCACACAATTGTGAAATGACCCACTGTCAAAAGCAGAAAAATTCCTTCTAGTGTCTTATAAAGTAATTGTTTTTAGTGCTGGATACTTTAAAACCAAACAACATTTAAAATCCTACAAATTGTCATGGCTTTAAAAACCTAAACATAATGTGCACCGTCATAATCCAGGCCTGCGTGTGCTTTTTCTGCAGGTAACTCGGCGAGCTCAGCGCTCCCAGACCACCCTGCAGGCCCAGATAACGCGTCTATCCCAGGACAAGAGGAGGCTTCAGGAGGAGATGGCGGCTCTGTTGGCCCAGAGAGAGGAGCTGGAGAGAAAATGCTTGGATTACAGGAAAGAGCAGGCTGACATCCTGCCTCGGCTGGAGGAGACCAAGTGGGAGGTGAGACATGAAGTTTTTGCACTTCACCAGTTTAAGAAATCATTTCAAACTTATATCCAGCTGGGCTGAAGATGTGAGTCGTCAGAATAAAGGCGTGCACATGATTGCTGATTCTGTTTGTGAACGCTGCTCTTGTTCTGACAATCTGAGAAGAGCTGAACAAAATTGATGAAGAGCAGGTAAATAAGTGGATCTTTTCAAGAATATTGTCTTCGATCTCTGAATCAGTCATTCAGTTTATTTAAACGGGAGGGAAAAGCTCATTTTGAGTTGTCTCGTATTCATTTTTGCTCCACACTCAACACAGGCAACAAAACTAATAGTTTGTGTGGACTAGTTATGATAAGTCAGTGTCTCACCTGCAGCAGCCAGAATGATATCAAATAAAGAATCAGGAAGAGATTCTCATAGCAGTAAAGCAATGCTGTGCAAAAATGTACAATAAAGCTTTTGTTTGGAAGGATAAAGCTGAAATTTGCTCTTGAATGAGTCCAACCTGCTGTCAGGTAAATATCTGACTACACAAATTCATATTAAAATAAATCTGAACTACCCCTTTAAGAAGAAAATTATGCTCAGAGATTGGTGTTTCAGAAAAACCTCGTTTCTTACAACTTGACTGACACTGTTAAGTTGCAGCAGCATTCTGTCAGAAGATTTCAGAGGTTTTATTCTGAAATAAACTTTAAAACAACTGGACTTCTTCTCTCACCTTTGATTTAAGCTCTTCATATTACTGTCAAATGAACGACTGGGTCTCTTTCTGAATGTGTTTCTGAATGAAAATACACAAACATCCTCAACTGAAAGGAAGAAGTTGATTAAACCTGTATATTCTGGAGTTTTTCTTTTCAGATCGACATGATTTTTGTGTTTTTTTGCCACATTATTTAAAAAGGCATTTAGGAGCAAATGAACATACTAAACAACTTTTATTGTGGTTAAACATCTCGGCTTATCTTACAGACAAATTAAAATGTACACCAAATTCCACCAAGAGTTTTGAAGTGATTTTTCTGTTTGCAGTTGAAACTGCCTGAAACTGCATCTGAAGAGTCTTTTCCAACCATAACTCTGAACACAGGTTGTTTATGTGGCAGGTGTGTCAGAAGGCTGGTGAGATCTCCCTGCTAAAGCAGCAGCTGAGGGAGAGTCAGGCTGAAGTGACCCAGCGAGCTGGAGAAATGGTGGCCTTGAGAGGCCAGCTGAAGGAGCTCAACGCCCAGCTGAGGGAGCGGGAGGAGGTCATGCTGGGCCTGAAAGACTCCTACAGCACCAAGTGTCTGGAACTGGAGAAGTGTGAAGGCGAGCTGAGGAGGACTCTGTCTGAGGTGGGGTGTACAGCACACTTAGGATAATAAGATTTACTTTAGTTAAGCCAGTATCTCAATGGGCTGCAACTGTTGGGGAATAGTCTGCAAACAGCAGTGGTGGAGAAAGTACTCAAACACTGTATTTAAGAAAAAGTGCAAATAAACAGACAAAAATGTACTCTAGTAAAATTAGAAGTACAGCATTAACATTTTTACTTAAGTAAAAGTAAATAAGTACTTGCTTTAAAAAATACTTCAAGTATTAAAAGTAAGAACTTGCTGATAAGTGTGCCTACCGTATGTATATTTTCTTTAATACATTAATAGTGTTGTGTCATTTAAATGAACAATGCTGCAGATAATACATGTTTTTATTGTGTTTACTCTGTGACACAGTTCACACTTGGACTTGTGATTCTGTGCGTCAAAATTTCAGGCATGACATGCAGAGTTAAATGCCATTAGATTCTAATAATATCAGTACATTTATAGACTCCATGCATACTTTAAATCTTTACCCATTGATATCAAGACCAACAAGAATCACAACTCACAGTGCAACAATAATTGATAATATATTTACAAATACAATAAATGGGGATGTGACTAGTGGTATTTTGACGACAGATCTCAGTGATCACTTACCGGTTTTTACAATATATAATAAGTATCATAATATTATGAAAATAACTGCTAGTATGAAAAGAAAAATAAATACATCAAAAAAAGCTTTAGACAAATTAAAAGATGATCTTGTTAAACAAAATTGGGAAAGTGTGTATGTTAAAGATGTAAACAAATCATACAATATGTTTATGGATATTTTGGAAACTTTATATGAAAAGAATTGTGTACAAAAAAACTATACCAAAAAGAATATTGTAGACCAACAATGGATGACTAAAGGATTGAGAAACGCATGTAAAAAGAAGAATTATTTGTACTCATGTTTTTTGAAATGTAAAACACAAGAGGCAGAAGATAGATATAAGAGGTACAAAAATAAATTAGTAGGGATTATAAGAAAACATAAGAAAGAATATTATAGTGATTTATTGAATAAAAGTGGTGGAAATATGAGGGCCACATGGAGAGTAGTGAATAGTGTTTTAAAAAAACATGTAGCAAAAACTGGTACCTCACAGAATTTTGTAATAAACAATGAGGAAATCAATGATAAAAATGAAATTGTTAATAAATTTAATCAGTATTTTGTGAAGATTGGAACAAACCTTGCAGCTGAAATACCTAAAGTTGACAAAAATGTTAACTATTTAATTGAGGATTGTTTAAACAGTATGTTCCTTAATGGGACAAATAATGAAGAAATAATAAACATAGTTAATAAATTTGCAGATAAAAAATCCAAAGATTATATGGATATGGATATGACGTTTGTAAAGGACATAATAGGTCATGTAATTGAGCCATTTACATACATATGTAATTTGTCCTTTACAACAGGAGTATTTCCAGATCAAATGAAAGTGGCGAAGGTGGTTCCTCTTTTCAAAAGTGGTGATAAATGTTTATTCAATAATTACAGACCGATATCCTTGTTACCACAGTTTTCAAAAATATTGGAAAAACTATTTGTTAGTAGATTGGACAAATTTGTTGAAAAACATAATATTCTAACTGACAGTCAATATGGGTTCAGAGCAAATAATTCAACATCTATGGCTCTTATGGAATTAATTGAAAAAGTATCAACAGCTGTTGATCAAAAACAATACTGTGTTAATGTTTTTGTGGATTTAAAGAAAGCATTTGATACTGTTGACCACTCTATACTCCTTGACAAGTTACATAGGTATGGTATTAGAGGAGTAGCGCTGCAGTGGGTATCTAGTTATTTGAGGGAAAGGACACAGTTTGTTCAGATGGATGATGTGAAATCTGATCACAGCACTATAACATGCGGAGTTCCTCAGGGATCGGTGTTGGGACCAAAATTGTTTATTTTGTATGTTAATGATTTGGTTAAGGTGTCTGGTCTCCTTAAATGTATTTTATTTGCTGATGATACCACATTTTTTAGTTTTGGTAAGAGTATTGAACAAACAGTGGAATTAATGATGACTGAACTTGATAAAGTTCAGTTTTGGTTTAAACTTAATAAATTAACATTAAATTTAGATAAAACCAATTATATGATTTTTAGTAATAAAAATAAATCTATTGATGTCTCGTTTAAAATTGATGGCTCCGAAATTCATAGAGTCCATGAGGCGAAATTCTTGGGTGTCATAATTGATGACAAACTGTCCTGGAAACGACATATAAGTTCTGTTAAAATGAAATTATCTAAATCTATTGCAATATTTTATAGAGTTAGGGATCTATTGAATGAAAAGGCACTTTATTTGTTATATAATACAATTATTGTTCCACATTTGATTTATTGTATTAGTATTTGGGGAAAGGCATGTAAATCAATTACAAAGCCTATTTTTGTTTTGCAGAAAAGAGTTTTAAGAATTATTACTAGAAAACATTATCGGCATCCATCAAGTATATTATTTTATAATACCAAATTGCTGAAGTTCTATGATTTGGTGGATTATAATATATTGTCAGTGATGTATAGAGCGCACAATAATGTTTTGCCTTCGAATATCCAGGTGTATATTGTTAAACGATTGAGTTGTTATAATCTTAAGGGAACAGACATGTTTGTGAAGCCCAAGTATAGAACTACTTTAAAAGGAAGGTCTACCATAATTCAAGGAGTTGGGTTATGGAATGAATTAGGAACTGATGTTAAAGAAGCTAAATCAATGCCTATATTCAAAAGAATGGTCAAGGATAAATTGTTGAAACAATATATTTGAAATGAGTTCAAACAGTAATTCATTGCGATTAAGGAAGTTAATGTGTTGTTTATCTCTTTTTTGTATTCAAAGGAAGTTGTTTGTTTAAATTGTTTATCATAAAATAAGGGGCAGATATGATAAGATTTTTTTCTTCATCTGCCACCTTTCATTTTATAATTTTATTTCTTTTGTTGTCTGTATGTTAATTGTTTTGTGGTTTTTTTATTATTATAAAATGAATAAAATAAATAAATAAATAAATAAATAAATTAATTAAGCAAAATAAGAAAGAGGAATGAGTATACCTTTGAAAGTTTTTATTTAACACAAAGCAAAACCAATGTGTCATTTTAACTGCAGTAAACACATTTAAGTAAAAGTTGTCTGCCTGAACAAAAGGAGCATTAGACCTAACAAAGGAACAGACACTGATCATTTCAACTCCAGTTTGTCATCAACTCTAGTTAAAATACTGTCTAGTCAACCTTGTAATGGGTCAATAGTGAACAATATTTTAACTTCCTGACACCATTTTTAAAACTTGGACCTGAGTGTTGAGTCATTTGGAGACATCTCATCTCCTAACATCCCATGAACTGACACATTTTAATATTGCAGCAAGAATTTCTTGTTCAAGTTCAGAAGAAGTTGGTTTTCAAAGGTTTTTGAGTCCAGTCTGTCTCTTTTGGGAGAGAAAATCTATCCTGATGTACTGAATAGTCTTTCAATAATCTTTCAATAATCCTTCAATAATCCTTCAATAATCCTTCAATAAGGCCTTAGATGGTGTGTATCTTCTGGCTGACTCTCCACGGTGGAATCCATGTTGGGTGTTAGTGGTGCTGTGGGTGCACCCAGCTCAATGACGTATATACTAGAATATATGTCATTGGCCCAGCTCTTCTTGAAGGTGGGTCTAACGTTACCTATCCACTTTGCAGTGATTCAATGGACCAACTCTCCTCTCACTGTTGATAACTTTCAAACTAAAGTACAAAAAAAAACTGCAATGTGAATGTAACGTGTAACGCAACGCATTATAGAAATGTAGTGTAGTAGACAGTACAGAAAATGCAGTGGAGTAAAAGCTGAAAGTACCCACGTGTAACTCTACTTAAGTAAAGTACAGATACATGAAAAATGTACTTAAGTACATTAAAAAAGTACTTGCACTTTGTTACATCCCACCACTGGCAAACAGCATTTGCCAGAGTCTTCAAAATGTCTTGAAGCAATCACGCTGCTTCTCAGTTTCCAGAGGCTTGTCATCTTGTCATTTGTATTTTATCATTTCCATGCAACAAAGTTTCCTCTCATACAAGTCACAGATTTGTTGTTGGACGTGAATTTTGACATCTGCATAGGAGTGCTCCCATGAAAGCAAATATCCAAAGCTACAGCCCTCAGTGTCCAGATCTAAACCTATCAATGATGAATACTGATTTTTTTAAGAACTGGCTCATATCTGCATATCTTCATCTCTAAAGTGTCCTGAAGTAGAATAAAATCATGAACATAGAGAGAGCTGTTGAGGTGTGCACAAAGCAAGTGAGGCAAGTATGGGTGAAGGTGAGCAACAAAATAATATGCATGGCCAATAACACAGTTTTTCAAGCTGTGATATTTTAAAATTTGATCTCTAAAAGGCTTGCCGGCTGCATGGTCACAAACACTCAGTTCAACGGAACTGCAATAGAAAGTTTTCCCTTGTTCTCTCAGTTTTGAGACACCAGCAAGTCTCCAATAGTTGCAGCTCAGTGAGATGCCACCTTTAGTCTAATAAAGTATGTGACTGTTTTAAGATTTTTTTTCTTTCATATAATTTGAGTGTGCTATGTGACAGCTTGTTTCAGTGACTTTTCTGGAAATTTTAAAATGTCAAAAGGAGCTAATTGTTTGTTAGCACACCTGAAAAAAGAAGTCATCATTTTAAGGTGACAGAAAGGGGCTGTGGTAGCTCAGTGGTCAGTGCTGCGGTCTTCTTATCCTGAGGCTGTGAGTTTGAGCCCCGGTTGCTTCAGGAAGAGCATATGGCATAAAACAATTGCCAAGTCTTTCATTGACTCCTGCAAAAGAGAGCAGCCAAATAATAGTAATAAAAAACAGCAACAACTCACAAGTCATGGTGCATGGTGGCCTCTTACACACTCCAGTTCTTTCTGGGGAGACCCCAAGGTACAGGCCCGAGGGAATATAGAATATTTTCAGTGAGTTCAAGGTTGCCTCTTCCCATTGCCAGTGGGACACACCTGGAAAACCTCCAAAGGGAGGCATCCAGGAGGCATCATAATCAAATGCCAAAACCATCTGACTCCTTTTCATATGAAGGAGCAGTAGCTCTACTCCGAACTCTCCCCGCTGCCACCCTTCAAAGGAAGCTCATTTCGGCCACTTGCATTTTGGATCTTGCTCTTTCGGTCATGATCCAAACCTCATGAATCTAGCTGAGGGTTGGAACATAGACAGATCAGTAAATCAAGAGTTTTTTTTCACCGTGACCTACCAATGCAACACCCTCATTACTGAGGATGAGGCCTCAATCCACCGATTCATCTCCATCCTACCATCCCTCACTTACCTTCCAGCTAATTCTTAAAGTGTCCGTCTCATGAAAAGGTCTAATTACTACATGCTATAACAGGATTCATGAATACAGTGAAAATGGCAGGAGTTGATTTATGTTTATAGGTTTGTAAAAAGTGCAGTTTGGAACAAGTGAGCTTTCAAGTTCACTAATTCTAGATGGTTGCATTTAGTCTGCAAAATCCCATATGGGGATTTCAAAAATTCTGCTTAAAATCCAGAACAAACTGAATTTGAGCAACATTTTAGTTTTGCTAAATGAACTCATGAGCAGCCAAAATGTGTATATGCAAAAAACATTGGTCAATTTAAAATGACTGCAGCAGCAAAATGTGCGGAAACATTGATTTCAAATTCACTAACATGCAGAGAGCCATTTTGTCAGAGCATAAAACTGTTTAAATTTTATTTGTAATGTTAGAGTTTGCATTTCTTTCTGCAGGTGTCCATCCTGAGAGAGAAGCTGGGAGTATTTGAAGCAGAGGTGCTCAGTTTAAAGCGTGCTCTGAATGAAGTGAGCCGAGGGGCTGAAGTTGTTGTGAGCCCCAACTTAGCTGCAGTGGGGCTGCTGCCACCGTGGGGAACTGTCCACTGCCCACGAAACCCAGCGGAGCCCCCCACCAACTCACTCAATCCCACGTCTGACACCTTGCTGAGTCTTCAGAGTGATGAAGCAAAAGCCCAGAGGCAGGAGGCTCAGAGACAAGAGAGGCAGCAGCGTGAAGAAGCACAGTGGCGTGACGTGCAGCAGCGGCAAGATCCCTACATGCAGCAGGATCTCCATATGCGTTCGGATCCACAGATCCGAACAGAGGCCCAACTCCGCCAGGAGGCCCAGCTTCGTCAGGAGGCCCACCTACGCCACGAAGCCCAAATACGCCAAGAGGCTCAACTACGCCAAGAAGTGCAGCTCCGTCAGGAGGCCCAGCTCCGCCATGAGGCTCAAATGCGTCAGGAGGCCCAGCTCCGCCATGAGGCCCAACTCTGCCAGGATGGGCAGATGCGTCAGGACACCCATCAGCCACAGCGGGGGCAGGAGGGTCACTGGGACGAAGCAGGGGAGCTGCGCAGGCAACTAGAACAGCTTCAGGCTGCGCTGCGCCTGGAGAGGCAGCAACGGGAACGCCAGGCCCTGAACTTCGACCAGGAGCGCCACACCTGGCAGGACGAGAAAGAACGGGTGTTAAAATATCAGGCGCAGCTGCAGCTCAGCTACGTGGAAACACTGCAGAAGAACCAGGCGTTGGAAAAACGGATGAGCCAACTGGGAGCCAAACAAACCACAACCTCCACCACCATCACTACCACTCCAACGTCCCCCACCTCCTCTACCTCTCCACCTCCTCCACCAGCCATGTCACCTCTCTCTCCTCCGCTGCCTCCTTCCCTCTCTGGTCCTTCTTCTCTGTCTGGCCCTCTTTCCCTTTCAGGCCCTCCTTCCCTCTCTGGACCACCTCCCCTGTCTGGACCCCCCTCCCTCTCTGGTCCTCCTTCCCTCTCTGGTCCTCCTCTCCTCTCTGGACCCCCCTCTCTTTCTGGTCCTCCTTCCCTCTCTGGTCCTCCTCCTCCTCTCTCTGGTCCCCCTTCCCTCTCAGGCCCCATTGCCCTCACCCTCTCCCCTCCATGTGAAGACCAAAAGGGCCCTCCATCCCTCCACCAGCTCGCGCCTCCCTGGGCCGGACCGTCTCGCCTGGAGAGGATAGAGTCAACAGAGATTTAGACAGTTTGATGAAACGTGCACTTCATTTCGTTGGGCTCTCAGCTGAAAGGCCTCTAACCCAAAAACTTTTCAACAGAAACAAAAACTAATTCAAGAAGCTGAAGCACCCTTTTCATCGCAGCTACATCCACGAAACATCAGCTGTAAACTAAAGACAAACTGAACAGGAAGCTGAACATACGGTTCATCATCACAGGGTTTACTTCATCTTTTTCTCTAACTTGTTGCACACTAACACATCTGACACTATCTGACATCTGATCAGTGACAAAAGGACACGATAAAAAATAAACAACACTATTACACACATCATTCTTTTGCCTGTGCTAGAAAACAAAACCAGACAATCAGGGAAATTGTCAGAATCGATCAATGCGAACACATCGTGGTATTTATTCATTGTAGGTCTGTGTCACTGGTTCTGTAAAAGTAGACTTAGTGATCAAAGTGTGTGACGTTACTTTACATTTCTGGCCAGAGAGCGCCTTACTCCATTCTTCCCAGCATGCATACGAGAATAACTACTTAATGCTGGGGATTGATGAAAAAAAAAGAATATATGTATATCAAGAGTGTGATTATTTATTTTCAGTGCTTTACTATGAGCAAACCAGCTACACACTATTACACACAACTGGACACACCTATGGAGTGACTCTTCATGCACAGGGCTCAACATGCACGACCCGCCACAACACTAAGACCAAGAGAGTTTATATTTTCTACAAACTGGATTTACATAAAAGATAATCAGCTCTAAACGAACACATTCTTTGGATGTGAGAACTTGACTTGCTTTCTTTTCAGATTCTCTGCTGTGACTAAAATATTAACACTAGGGGTCATTGGAGAGCTTTCACTGAACCCCCCCAGCTGAACAGGACGTGAACGTGCACACACAATTTGAATTTAGATATTATGACAATTGTGTTATTGTGCGTTTGCAGCCAAAATACATGAAAGTGCAGTCAGTCACCCTAAAGGGAAAACATTTTGTATAGAATGTATGATATTCTAGCAGACTGAAAAAAACCTATTATAGTTAATGTGTGTGTGTGTGAGAGAACGAGTTTGCGCAAGCGAGTGTGTGCATGTGTGTATACATATAAAAAGCTTCAGCTTATGACATTGAGGATAGAGGGACTAGTGGCAATAGAAGTGGAGATGCATTTAGATAAAAAGGGATTTCCTTTTCCATCCAACCATGTGAGGCTGAATTTTTAAACTGGGGATAAATGTATATCTTGGACAAAGTTTTACTTTCTTCTGTATATTTCATGTACACAAAGCAGGGGGGGACAGAAGTTGGAAACAAATGCCTGAAAAGTGGAGCCTTTTAAAGGAGAGCGTTCAGGCTAAGTGCACTACGTAGTGTCCCAAACACAAGTTCTGATGTACAGTAGAGTCCGATGTGAATATCATGGCTTTTATAACTGTTGTTTATGCCAGCATTAAAAAGATGTTGCTCAAGAATATTAACTTATCTCTAAGGTATTTACATAGTATTATCATCTTTATTACTGTTATTATATTATGGTGTACTGACATAAAATACGTGTCATTTGAGCTTTCCTTTGTGTGTGTGTGTGTGTGTTTGTTTGTTTTTTTTTTATCTATGTAGCTATAGCCTATGTTGGCTGACCAAAATGGTGCAATCATAACAACCTCGTCTAAAGAAAATTAAAAAAAAATGATGTTCTTTTTGATGTGAGTGATGTAGTTACAGTATTGCATTGTTTAGAGAACAAACTGCTTCTGATTTTATACATGTTTAGAAATATATTGTTTGCATTTATGTTACTAGTACTGCTCTGGCTTGGTTAAAACAACTCATTTGTTCAGCTGAACTAATAAAGATATGTGAAGAATTTGGCATCTTTTTGTCGGAGAGCAAACTCTTGATTAAAGAACTCAGCAAATAAAATATGTGGAGCTCTTGGGATAATGTATGGTGCAAATGAAACGTCCAACATTTGAAGGCTATTAAAAGGCCTACAAAAAGTCAGTGAATTTTACTTTAAGAAGACTACAACGAAGTCTGCATGAACCAAAATGCCAAAATAAAGAAAAAAGGTCAATCAAGACTTTTGCATAATACTGATCACTTCGCTCTGTGGTTTTCTAACGCGTACTTGTACTCAGGAGTCTTCTCTTCAACAATCAAAAATAAAACTAAACTACTTTACTTCTGACCTATTCTGATCAAACATTAACTTCTATAAAAATATGAGAGAATTCAGAGCTTTGCACGTCACTGATATCGTAATATCACTATATTATATTGCAGAAAATTATTGTTTTATGTTTGTTAAAGAAAATTAAGATAAATTATTCTGTGTACCAGCAAGGACTTTGGATCTTTATTCTACTTTGTATTATGTTCATACTAAAATAGTTCTAATAATTAATGTTTGAGCAGGATTAAAGTGTAGCTGGACATTTTTAAAGTACCGGTACATTTGGATAGTTTGCAACAAGTATTTCATTTTACAAGCTGATTGTGTGTTTTGTTAATATATCTTAATCTGCTTCATCTGTGCATGGCTTTATTGAATTCACAAAAAAAGTCCTCTTGTCTTTATTACTGAGCTTTTTTTTTTGTTTATGTGAGAGCAAACAGGTAAGATTAGACAATAAGTTGTGAAAAATACAACTTATTCAAACACATTTCGAGAATAATTATGTGCACAGCTATATGTACACACATATAGATATAGATCAGTCTCCCACAAAAAACTAATTTAAGCAAAACCAAAACACTTGTAATGTTAAACAGTTCAGAAACTTAAAGCACAAGTAGATGTGAATGATTTCTAAATAAATTATGAATTGACAGAAAATCTTTCTAAGTGGGACAAAGAGGCAGATTAATTTGGGGATGTGAGACCAGAAGAAAAAAACAGAGAAAAATCAATAAGGGTCTTTGTATCCATTAAACATTGAATAGAATTTTTAAGTGTTTTAATCGTTAGTCATTTTCACATTTCGAAGACTTAAATGATCTTCCATTTTAAAAACAATACTTTTCAAATAAAAGAAATGGGCAGAATGTACACCACAAACTGTTATAGCCTAGTTTCAAAGCTACGTATAGAATGAAAATTTATTGAATTGAACTGAATACTTGTAAGTTAGCAGCTGCATTCCTTTAACAAAAGGAGTCTAGGTTTTTCCCTCACAGCACCATTCATTCTACAGAGAGGCGTCCTTGAATTGTCCAGTGGATCAAATAAAGAAAAGATGTCCAAGCCGGCTAACCCTCATGTGGAGGAGGAGATAAATCAGTGAGAAAGAATGTGCCCACAGATGAGTAAACGGTTTTAAAAAATACTTACAGTAGTTTAACATATAGGTTCAACCTGCACAAGGTAAAAAGAACACCTTGTGTTTATTAATTCTACTCAACGCATGCTGCGCGCATTGAGCCCAGTTTCCAGAAACTAAACGTGTCCCTTCACGGCTTCCATATTCCAGTTGGTTTGTTTTGGTTGTAACTAGCTAGTTTCTCGCTAAAGTTGGATGCAAATTGAAGGTTCCTGTCCGGCAAGTGTGGCAGATACCTTGTGAAATATATTATAATATCGTTATTTGTCAAGGTAAAGTTATTATATTTGATATTAGTGATCCAGTATTTAATATGTTAGCTCATATTTGGCTGCTAGCTTCGATTAGCTTAGCCAGCCAGTGGATTCATTACTTCTGCACATTATGGGTTATTATTGATTGATCAATAATTGAAAGTGTTTTTCTGATAAATTAAACACATGTTTATTCAGTAGCTAAAAGCTAGAGAAACGTCATTCAATGAGCAAGAAACAAATTCTTCGATTCATATTATTTTAAAGAATTTAAAGCTTTTGTTTTGTTTCTATTTCATTTAGTTTTTGTTATGTAGTTTTATTAATTAAGTAATTAATTTATTGTGTCCTCAGGTTTAGAGGGTTGTTCTGCGGATATTTGTTCAGTGATTGAAACACAAAAATTGTCAGTCGAAAATATAATGTACAGTATATAAAATATGTAATTCTTGAGGCTTGATTATTTATTTACTTAAGGCTTTATTAGTAGTATTGTTATTATTATTGTTGAATTTAGAATATTACTTTGTACGTTATATGTTGTGTTTTATTGTCTAGCACATTGGTAATATTTAGAAAAATCTTCTAATAAGTCCAGGCTGACTGGTTCAGTTCAGAGCTAACCTTTGCTGAGGTTGAACAGATGAACTTAATACTTTATGGAAAACTATTTTCTTTGTTAAATTTTATTCACCAAAGGAATCATGGCATTTCGTCACTTATTCTATAATTTATTAAGACATATTAATGCTGTGCAAGCTTTTTAAGTCACTATTAAAATTGTCATGGGAAGATAAATTATTTTTAAATATTTACTTTTTTGTGTGGTCAAAGGGCTTTGGATCATTTATTGTAATAAAAAAAATTATTCATCCTCGCAGTTTATTGAACTACCATGTTTGATGGAAGTGGCACTTCGCCTTAACCTGTAACCTCTCTTAAGTGACATTAAAGCGCTCGTTGTTCAGCTCTAAAATCAGTTTGTGTCTTTGCAGGTTGGGAAATATGGTGGTGAATCTCTGTCTTCCACACTTTCACACAACGGCTCACTGCAACAAGGTATAACATGTTTCATAAATACAGTTATATAACTGTACAACCCTTAAGCTATTTATAACAGGCTAGTTGGATTTGCAACAATTTTATAATTTAAATGCAAAAAAAACTTCAAAATCCATGTGACTAGGTCTGGCAGTAGTTACCGCAGTCATGAAATGAACAAAAATACATTCTTTACCTCGTAGTGTTGTTTTTAGAGTCTTGTTTTAAAAGGACAGTATGTTTGAAGTAGAAATATAGAAAACAAGATATGACACCAAATGAAGGTGGAGGGCACTGATGAGAAAATTAAAGCGCACAGGACAAACACGCATGGGCTGTGTGGGAGACTGAATCCCACTGTCCTTGTTCTTTTTTTATTTATTTTTGTAATCTATAATTATTATCTTTACTCTGCATTCATGGAGTTATTTCTGTAAAGAAAATTCAATGATTTACTTTTTTATTTGTCATTTAAGATACAGGTCTTCATTATCATTATTTTCATGCGTGTATTTGAGAGCATGAAGCTCATGTACTGACCTGTTGTTTCATATGTACATGTTCAAATGTCACAAAAAGGAGGCATAATTAAGGCATTTTAAATCATTGGCTTATTTTTGGCAGCTTTCAATTCCAAGCATTCACTTGAATATATTTGTGTTAACAACAAAGTCCATGCTCAATAATCCAGGTATAAAATCCAAAATTTTTCAGTCAGGTCATCTGGACAGTTTCTTTTTTTGTGCTGAAACGTTTTGCCTTCGATCCAGAAGGCTTCATCAGTCAAGGAAACACACACCAGTTTATTTTTTGGTGCTGAAACGAGACCATCTTATCACAAGCAGAACTGGTTTGTTCCACTTTGGAGTAAGCTGTTGGGGGAAGAATCTGTTTTGTTGTGTGTTTCCTTGACTGATGAAGCCTTCTGGATCGAAGGCGAAACGTTTCAGCACAAAAAAAAGAAACTGTCCAGATGACCTGACTGAAAAATGTTGGATTGTACACCTGGATTATTGAGCATGGACTTTGTTGTTTTCAACCAGTTTGACAAGACTGTCAACAAGGAAGAGGGCCGGCAATGGAGGAGGGGGCGTACCAAAGAGACCATCTTAACACAAGCAGAACTGGTTTGTTCCACTTTGGAGTAAGCTGTTGGAGGAAGAATCAGTTTTGTTGTGTGTTTCCTTGACTGATGAAGCCTTCTGGATCGAAGGCGAAACGTTTCAGCTCAACAAAAAAAAAGAAACTGTCCAGATGACCTGACTGAAAAATGTTGGATAATTGTGTTAATTTATATTTTAGTTGTGTGCAGATGGCTATGATGTCACAAACCTTGTGTCAGCTGACCCCACCTTTCGGAGGCGAGGCTTCAAGCTAGAGTACTTTGTACGTTCACCCCTACAGGTGAGACATATGCTGCAATATTTTTTTTAATTTTCATATTTTCTTAAAAGCTAGACCAACGCAAATGTTTATTTAGAATATTGTCTGCTGCACTGCAGGAAAATGATCATAGATTAAGTTACTGAAAACAAGTGGCTAGCACAAGCATCAGACTAATTTATTATTTTTTTTATCACTCTGTTGTTTTTTATGTCTGTCAAAAGCGGTACGTATTATGGTATAGTCTCTGTACTTCCGCAAACTTTCTCTTGTCTTGTCCATAACTTCAGATACCCTCAAGATAATTTAATGAAACTTTATACACTTATACTTTATCGTTAGAAGGAGTGTTGCATATATGTTGCATCACACTAGCGAAAAGGTCAAGGTCACAAATCAAGGTTAATTGGTATATAAGGTCTTTGCTTGTCTGGGTCGTTGCTGTATTGCTGTAAAATATTTTGTTGACAATAATGCGACATAGGCAGCATGGTGGCGCAACTGGTAGAGCTGCTGCCTCTCAGCGAGCAGGTCCTTGGTTCAAACCCCGGTCCAGGGGCCTTTCTGGATGGAGTTTGCATGTTCTCTCCGTGCATGCGTGGGTTTTCTCCGGGTGCTCCGGTTTCCTCCCACAGACCAAAAACATGCATGTTAGGCTGATTGGTAACTCTAAATTGTCCCTAGGTGTGAGTGAGAGAGTGAATGGTTGTTTGTCTCGTTTGTCTCTATGTGGCCCTGTGATGGACTTGCGACCCGTCCAGGGTGTACCCCGCCCCTCGCACAGTGATTGTTGGACATGGGCACCAGCGACCCCCGTGACCCAAAATGGAATAAACGGGTAAAGATAATGGATGGATGGATGGATAATGTGACATATACGGTACTCTTGTTACAGTCTAGACTTTGCGTTTCTTTGTGGGTGGCCTAAGCACTTTAGTGTAGTTTGGAAGTAAATTTGCAGGATTTTTTTGTAAAAATTATCTTTTTTATTTTTATTTTTTACAAAACATCAGTCAAGTTAATGTGACTGTTGTTTTCAAAAAGCAGGTTGTAGAGATTAATAAAACTGTGCAGGCTGTTAAATAATTAAAGGGCTTTTTTGCTATTAAAAATGGGGAGAACAGTGAGAAACTCGAGTTCAGTCCTTCATAATTCTAATCCAGGCGTTATCTTTTACCCACGTCTTCCTTTTCGGGTCGCGGGGGGTCACTAGTGCCCATGTTCAGCTATCACTGTGCGAGGAGCAGGGGACACCCTGGACAGGTCTCCACAGGGCCACATAGAGACAAATGGGACAAACAACCATTCACTCTCTCACACACACCTAGAGACAATTTAGAGTTACCAATCAGACTAACATGCATGTTTTTGGTCTGTGAGAGGAAACCGGAGTACCCGGAGAAAACCCACGCAAGCACGGAGAGAACATGCAAACTCCACCAAAAAGGTCCCAGGCCAGGATTTGAACTGGCGACCTTCTTGCCAAGAGGCAACCTGTCTACCAGTTGTGCCACCGTGCTGCCCATAATTCAGTTCAGTTCAATTCAGTTTATTTATATAGCACCAAGTCACAACAGAAGTTGTATCAGGGCACTGTACAAAATCATTCACATTATAAAAGCCAATTAGTAAAAGTTCTCTATCTAAGGAAGCCAGCAGATTGTGCTGAATCTTCACTTCGTCACAGTCTCCCATCCTCAGCAAGCACAAAGGCAACAGTAGAAAGGAAAAGCTCCCATTTAACAAAAAAAAATAACATAAGAAAAAAACATAAATTGTCCATCTAATATGCTGTTATAATACAATCACAAACGACAATATAGGCGTTGAATTTTGAATTCCACCAGCGCAAACCGAGCTCAGACACACCCCACTAAGAGTTCCTTGAGCGCAGGTTTGATACTTGAGTATTCTGGCAGCCATGTTGAGTTACCGTCAATAAAAATGGAGAATGATGGGGTCTTTATTTATGAAACTTCTGTAATTTTTTTACAGACTGCATTTTTACAAAATACTTGGAAGTGGTCTTAATGTAGCAAAAGGAATTCAATAGTACTTTTGTAAATAAGGTAATTCATATAAATACATATTATTTTTATATTTAAGTCATTAACTTAATGTGGGCACTCTCAACAAAGAACTTTATATTTTTATGGATCTAAAAAGCGGGAGAATCACTGACATCTTTGTTAGAAATTAATGCTTTTTTAATTTTTTTTTTTTTTTAAGTTTGTTTTGCTTTTCATTATTCTCAGGTGACACTGAAGTTCAGCTTTCCGGTAGAGCTCTGCCGGGTGGATGTGGAGCTCTGGCCCTGGGGAATGGACCAAGGACAGGTCTGCAAGAGAGTTGAAATCAGCACCAGTTCAGACCTGAGGCCTTCCAGTGGTCTCGGACTGACCGAGCAACAGGAACAGAGAGTAGATCAAGAGAGGAATCAAACTGAAAACAGACCAAAACTTCAACGGGATGGGGGTAAATGTCAACAGAGCAGTGGTCACCAGTGGAGCCTTCAGGCCCAACAGTGGGACAAGAACAGCTCTCAACTAAGAGATCGTGTGTTCAAACCTCAATCAAACAATGAATCCAACAATTTAGAGTCGGAGTTTAAACTGGTGGCTCGTTGTGAGCTAAGAGAAGGAACCCAAATTTCTTTCAGACATTCAAACTTCCGCCCCCGGCCGCCGTTTCTGTCCCCCCCTCCTCCACAGCCGGAGAACTGTCGGCAAGAGAAGCTGTGGAGTCGGGGCCTGTCCTCGCTGGGCGCTGTGATGCAGCTCCGTGTCACCGTGCCTTTTGGTGGCGCAGCTTCTTCTCTGGGGCTAAAGACTTTAGCTGTGTGGGGGCAACCTGCCCACTGCTGTCCTGTGGAAGAAGTGGAGAGGATTCAAAGAGCACACGAGTCCAATGAAAGCCGGGTGATACAACCTGCATTTTTTGCTCCACCTGCCAAACAAAGCACACATCCACTTCAGGCTTCTCCGAGGTACAGAATAATTTGAGATGTTTCCTCTATTTAACTTTTTTTTTTTTAACAGCTCAAGTTGTAAAACTTTTCATCTTTTTTGTTTTCTAAAATTTATACTTTAAAAGTATAAATGGCAGCGTTAAAATGTTTTATTGTTTGTCTCTTGCAGTGTTAATATCCCTGAAGAATTCTTTGATCCAATAACACAGGAAGTGATGACGCTGCCCATGCTGCTGCCCAGTGGTGTGTCAGTGGACAACACCACCCTAGAAGAATACCAGAAGAGGGAAGCCGGTTGGGGTCGACTGCCAAACGACCCCTTCACCGGTGTCCCATTCACTGCAACCTCCCAACCTCTTCCTAACCCCCAACTTAAAAGCCGCATTGACCACTTCCTCCTGCAGAAAGGGCTGATGGGGAGGAACGGGATGTTGGGGAGACAAGAGCAAGGACAGAACCCACACGCCTCTAGACTTGTAGCGTCCAACATCCACCAACAATCCCTGAATCCTGTCAGTCTCGTTCAGACCTCACCAAACTGTAACAGTGTTCAATCCAAAGCTGACAACAGACACACAAGCTGGACTTCTGTGAAAGAAGATGGTTCTGGACCCTCATCAAACGATGGGAGTGACTTAGCTTCTGCTCAACCTCTTTGTACAGACAGCGATTCAGATTCAGACAAACAAAAGAAACGAGATTTAAGAGAATTTTCAAATGAATCAACAGAAATAACATCTGAAAGCAAACTACTACGTCAAACAAAAAGACCAAGAAATCATTTGGATTCATGTGAGTAACTCGAAGTAAGATTAAGATCTGTAGTTGTTTTAAGATTTATGATATGGCTTGACTTCGCCTTGCTCTCATTAACTCAAGTTCCCTTATATACCGGTACATGTATAAATGCTGAACTTGGAGTTGTAACTAATGCATTTTAAAATGTCCATGTGCACACAATATACTTATTGTGCTTCACAATCCCAGGTCTGTAAAATGAGTACACGTTTTGCACAAATCTAGCTTTATATACAGTAAAATAAGAAACAGTTGGGGCTCTAGCTCTGCTGCAGATGTTGTTGGTGCACCCACATGTTAGCATCATATCTGACCAGTTAATGTTTTGCAATTAAAAGAAACAAACAGTATACCGGTAATTGATTGTACCCTTAAAGTAAAGCAATAAAAGCTATTAAAAAAAATATCGATGTGGTAACTGTCCTGGCATTTCTCTGTTGTTTGTTCAGTCTCCAGCTGCAGCTCTCATGAGCAGCTCCTGTCGGCCAGTCTGGATGAGGCCCTGCTCTCTGCCCTGAAGGGCCGACCCTCCTTCACTTCAAACTTGCCCCAACAGAAGGAGAGTACCTCTGACTCCACGGAGCAGTGCCAGAGTTCAGGCTTTAAAAACACATCTGCAGGTACAATCTGTACTTTCTATCATGCTGAAGGCCATAAAAATACACAGTTTATAAAAGAACCTCGAAGCTGGCGTGCTTAACATTCACTCGCATGTTCTTAGTTTTGATTTACTGCCGTTAGAAATTCACCCAGAAGGTGAACCTGGATTTAAAAGTGTCAAATTTCGGTCGCAGATTCATCTCAAATCGCTCCTGTAGCATAATCCAAACCTCTATCACTGTCTACATGTTGCGTAAATCAAGCCAAACCAACGTTGTTTGTGATTTTTAAAGCAACCATAGTCGACTACAACTGCTGTACAAGGTATAAAATCCATAATTAGCAAATCAGCAAAGAATATTAACATTAAACAGTAATAAAAAAATAAGAGTTAAATAAATCATTTAGGCTTGCTCAATCAACGGCTATATTTTCTGCTCAACTAGAAAATTTGTTCAGAAATATTAACAACGTTTAAACAATTACTGTATTTTCCACCGTACACGTCACGCTGCTCTATAAGTCGCATCAGTCCAAATATGTCTAATAGAGTGGAAAAATCTATAAATACATCGCTTCGCCGTATACGTCGCATCTATTATGTGTCACCGCTGACATGTCGCGTTTGTTATACGTCACCACTGACCGTCCAGAAATGTGGGCCGATGTGCCAAAAATCGATAGGCTGCCAAAAGGCAGCCGCGGGAGCGTGCACGGGTGGATCATAACAAGAATTTAATAAGATTAACATTGAAAAACATTTATTTGTTTGCTCAAAATTATAGTAAATGTGTCTCTCGGCCTTAATAAATGCACTTTGACGGCCAAATCAGCTGCATTTTCAAAAGCTGATACGCGGAAACGTGAATGCGCAGTGGGCGGCTTGTGAATTTCTTTGAAATTCAACAAGATAAAACACCTAAAAACAATTATTTGTTAGCTCGACTTTATAGTAAAGGTGTGTCTCAGTTGAAATTTTACTTAATAAATGCACTTCAATGGTCAAATCAGCTGCATTTTGCCGGGGCGGCGCAGCAGAATGAAGCTGATTTGACGGTTGCTCCAGGCAGACGACGGTGCAGTCTATGGCAAGCCGATTGTGTCATTAATAGCCACTTTTACTTATTACATGATACAACAGCATGCTATGATATTCAAGTGCCATCTAGCAGCTGAAAATAGTAGTGTTCAATGTTTTCAGTCAGAATAAATGAAAACGATCATATCTCAGCCAAAAATTAGTTTATAAATATGGGAAAAATTCATAAATGCGTTGCTTCGGCGTATAAGTCGCAGGGCATGCAAATTATGCAAAAAAACACGACCTATAGGGTGAAAAATACATTAATTGTAATGGGAAGCTGTATAAATTTGAATTAGATGAAAAAAGCTTATACATTTAGTTTATTTGTAAATGATTTAAAAAGAAATCACTACTTTAGATGTGTGAGTCATTGTCTTTCCTTTTTTTCCTACATGTTCTAACCAGGCGAGAAGACGTGCTCGGCGTGTTCCTGTTCCGTCTCTGCTTACTCCACATCAGCAACATCTGTTTACCGTCTGATCTGCGGTCACTTGCTCTGCCGTACCTGCCTGCAAAAAGAATCGAAACAACCCGACTCCGACTCTGCATCCAGACGCTTTTTATGTCCCGCCTGCCAAAGTTTTACCCCCCACAGTTGCATCGTACGTGTGCATCACTGACAGGTGAAAGAAACCCTCAGACCTTCAGACTTCTTCTGTTCCCTCCTGTTCAAAAGAACGTTACGTCTCCAAACTATTTATTTGCTGAATTATTTCTAAATCCTTGCCTATTTTTGTGTAACAATTTGTTATATCCATTGATTTGTAGCCACGGGCATTAAAAGTGTGTGAAGTCCGCTATTTTTTTTTTTTTTTTAAACTCACCTTTTTCTGACTCGTGACGTCACCAGATGTGATGACATGTGCCTGTGCTGACCTCCATCGATGAAAACATCAGTGAAAGCACAGACCTTTTCAATTACAATGTATAAAAGTACACATACATATAAAGTCCTCATGTTTTCCACCCCCTCTCCTCCTCTTAAACTCCTTATTGGAAGAGCAGTTGCATCCTTGGATGTGAAGCCGCTGAAGAAAAGGATGAGAAACTTGCACGTACAGAGGGTTCAGAAACAAAAAGGTGGAGGGACAGCAGCACTGTAAGATCAAAACTAGAGTGCAGCTGCGTAGTCATTGTGAAGAACCCAACGAGGTCATGATCAACTCATGATTTGAACTCCCCGTGTTTTATTCACTCGTCCTCATGTCTGATCTCTGGCTCAATTTATGTAACAAATATAGCAGCACATAACGTAAAAAATAAGCTTTGTGTAGCTCATAATGTACTTTAAGATAAAGGTCTTTGTCATTTTAACTAGCATGTCATCCTGCAAGTTTCAGTCCTTTTTATTGTCTCTGTGTTAAAAGAAAGTTTGTTATCTCTGCCAACAAAGGACAGTGTCATTACCGCATTTTCTGGACTGTAAGTTGCTCCGGAGTATAGGTTGCATTTATTTAGAAGAGTATTTCGCAATGTGCACGAGCAGACATTTAATCTGAAACAGGGCCAGCCCAAGCCTCCATGGGGCCCTAAGCGAAATTTGGTTTGGGGCCCTTTATTTCTGCTAATAATATGGATTACTGCAATCAACAGTCAGATGATCAGATCATTCACCCACCTAATATAAACACATTGCAATTCTGACAGCCCTGTTTACATTATACTATATGTGTGGTACTAAATGTAACAAAATACAATAAATAAAAAAACAGTATGCAATGCATTTTTACAGCAAAAGTGTCATCTGGTTTATTAACTTTGGTGCCAAAGAACTGCAACAGTAATGTTCAAAATAATTTGTAGTACCAGATCAACAACAAACAGATAAAATAACTTAGATGCATAAAAATAAATTGTGCAAAAACAGACAAAATGAATACAATAAAAAAATAAAACATCAAGGAAATACTTGATTAATATACATGAACAATTCATTGTAACCATGTAAAATGGTTGAAAAAAGAAATTTAAAGTTGAATAATTAGTTCTTAGCACTATGTAAATGTATGCAACCATTTGCAAAAACTAAACTTAAAATATTAAACAACCTTTACCCACACAATTGACCTGCTTATGTTACTTCTTCCTCAATACTTCAAAAACTTCCTAAAACCAGTGCTTCCATTTAGGGACCACCCTAGTGGCCCTGAAATAATAACATGTAGAACAGACCTAGGATCCTGAACAGGCTTAATTAACATAACAAGCCAACGAGTCCGACAAGCAAGTTACCGGTAAATTCACCGATCTCATTCCACATCACTGAATCCATTGAATTCTTCATCCTCGGTGTCGCTTCTGAACAACTCCGCCTTTTGGGGGCATTTGTGTTGGGGCTTTTTATAGCGGTAGAGAAACAACATATAGTTGTCAAAAGCCTAGAGGGCCCTCTCGCAGCTGCAAATGGTGGTTTACTTTTTGGTTCATGTTAGTATGAATTAACTTAATTTAATGTGTCAATCAAAAATTTGTCATGAATAGTTAAAAAATACATAAATATGTTGCTTCGGACTATAAGTCGCAGGACTGGCCAAACTGAAAAAAAAGGTGACTTATAGACTATACGGTATATTGTCTTTTTTTTAACGTTTTCCTCCTAGCTGCTTTTACAAGTATCTTTATAGCAAATTTAGACAAGCCAAAGTATTATATATAAAATATTAGGGAAAAGATGATTCAAATGAACACAATAAAAATTTGGTAAAAACTCAATTTAAACAATAAAATGGGAAATTTTGATTCATGTTGTATAAAAAGCTATTGGTGTGTTTCAAAACAGGAAGAGTTTTATCCTGCCTGGTATTCAGGGGCGATGTACGCCGTAGTTCTATGTCATATAAGCTTCGCCCTTTAAGGCCTTCGCTTTAGTGGGTTTATCCCGTTATGCAGAGCATAAGCACTGAAAAAAAAAAATTAGTCCACGCCCACCTGCTGTGTGGGCCCTACCCGGTCCGTATAAATTACGTTAAGAGCGGGAAATCGGCTCCCATTTTTTCTTCAGCGAGCTAATATAGCACTGTCAGAAGAACAAAGAAGATAAGTTGTGTAAATGACCAACCTTGTGAAGGATGCTGGGCCCGGCAGTCGACCTCCGGTCGTCCGGTGAGTTCTCCTCCCCGAGGAGAAGATGACAGCAGTCTTATTCCAAGGTAAGCGTCGTGGAACATTTCCCAGTGACAGGTCACTACACGCTGGACAACGCCATCTTGTGTTTTTTCCTCTTATCGCCGACCCTCGGGGCGAACCGGATGGTTCCTCCGGGGCAAGGTGTGCTCAGCTGCAGCCCCCGCTGCTCATTCCCTCCCGGGGAGCGTAGTGTAGGTGGAGGGGGGCTGAGTGAATGCTCACCCCATCCCACCTCGTTTCGCATCGGCGATCACACCGCTCCCGGCCGACAGCGCCCTCAGGGGTTGCCCGGCGGAACCCGGGAGGAGGCTGACATGAAGGGACCCCCTTTTTCTACGTCCCTCGCCTTTTCCCGCCAGTTCGGATGATCGGCGGAAAGGTTATTTTTCACTGACGTGTTTTTCCAGGCAGCCGCAGTTAGCAACAACGTGCGCTGCTAGCATATAGCATGTCCAAGGGACTGAAGGCCGCAGACCTGCCTTGGAGACAAAGAACTCCTTCTGTAAGGCAACTGACGCTATTCCTCGGTTCCCTCCCCTGGAGCCAAGCCTCGCGGAAGCTTCCGGAGCGAAGCTGTCCAGGTCGGAGCAGCGTCCCGTCCCTCCGGAGGAACCAGACGGCGACCAAAGCTCTCCAATCGAGCCCACCGACGTGTTTTCAGGCAACCGCAGTTAGCAACAACATGCGCTGCTAGCATTTAGCATGTCGAAAAGGCTGAGACCTCAGACCTGCCGGAGGAGACTAAGAGCTCCCTGTGTAGATCGGCAGACGCCATCCTCAACATGTGCGCCGCTCCCTCGGGTTGCCTGTCGAGGATTGTAGCATGGATGACGGTAATCCAACGTTCCATCTGGCTCCGTCACTCTCCATTGCTGCCGGAAAAGCTGCACAAAGACCGGATGGAGGGCCCCATCTCATCGGACGCGCTGTTCGGAAGCAGCTTGACGTCCATGCTGACGAATTCGAAGCAGTCGGAGGAGACGTCGGAAGCTGTACGCCATCTCATCTAGCCGCGCGGCTCATTCCGTCCTCCAGCCCGCTGGAGAGATCGTCAAAAGCAGAGGCAGAGACATCGACGCTCCACGGCAGCAGCAGCTTCGTCTCGCCCAGCTCCACCACCAGCCCCGCCCGCCAGAGACCACCCCTCCTCAGTCCGGCAGCCTGCACTTCAGCGTTTTCCCCAGAGATCGCCTGCAGACGGCGCTCGGAGCAAACAAACCGCAGAGCTCACGGGGGAGAAGTTTTAAGAAATGACGGTCTGCGGAGGATGTGTGTATAAATGACACAGGAATTGAATAAATGATTTTTCAAAGATCAAAACGCCTGTTTTTAGCCAGTCTGTAAGCTCGGATGAGCTCACAGCCGCTACACACACACCCTCCACTCATAAAGAGCCGGTGTCCTTAAATAAAGGTTTTTTAAATCCACCGCCGCTCCCTCACATGCCCAGACGCTCACGTGACACCACGGTAAGCGAAATAACTTGTTGTCAATCAGACCCGCACGATCACCTCCCAACGGTGTTTACGCGCTCCCGAGCGAGACAAGCAGCCTCCATCCAACGGCACTGTGTCGATGATGCACGCACAGCTGCCCGGCGCTCACCGGCCCACATCGGGATAAATGTGGGACCGCAGGCCGGGTCCGGTGGAGGTCCCTGCTCTCAGCGAAAACAACACACGCCTCTCCTGTATGAACGCGAGTGGCCGTCATCCACCGCGTCCCAGCGATCAGCAGCTCACGGCGGCATAAGCGTGAGACAGCTGAATGAATCCAATGACGGGCCCCGCCCTCAGCGAGAGCGGCGCGCGTCCCTCCAGAGGAAACGTGCGCTCCCGCGAGGCTCACAACCTTCACTTCATCAGCTGACACACGCCTCGCCTCAGCACACACCGCCCCGCCCGGACATGAAGGTTGGTCCGCGATCCAGTCACAGCGCGCGGGCGCGCGCAGAACAGCCCTTTCGAGAAAGCCTCGCCTTGGGTCACGCGGAAAACATTTCCGCGACGCATGACGGCGGTCGAGGCGGAGGTTTGGATGACATCCGTTCAAAACACGGCACATCATTTAAACGCACGTCCACTCCACGAACGTCACGCAGAGTGGTTAAAAACATGCTCACCGGACAGATGGAGGGACAGAGTGTTATGCAAGGGTTACACGCTGCAGTTTGCAACCCGACCCCCTCCGTTCGGAGGAGTTATAGAGACGGTCCTGTCATCACCAGACCAAGTCTCAGCCTTAAATGCAGAAATCCAAGAGCTTCTGATAAAAGGTGTAATCTCAAGAGTTCCCAACGAGGAGGAAAACACAGGGTTTTACTCAAGCTACTTCCTGGTCCCCGAAAGGACCGGAGGGATGAGACCGATTCTGGATCTGTCAGCTTTCATCAAAGCGATCATGAACAGATTTTTTCACATGTTGATGAACAGACAGCTGTTGGACAACATCCAGGAAAACGACTGGTTTGTCTCCATCGTTTTAAAAGATGCCTATTTTCACACAC